TGTCATTGAAGTCTAAAATATCTGAAAGTTGAACAGTACAGACCGAATATAAAAAAACTTGTCTGAATTTGTATAGTACAACAAGGAATCAGAAGACTGCACATGTGTCGTTTTATTACATCCTTTAAGATGATCCTTGGAATACCTGATATGATCGGTGTTGTTGTGTCCTTGACAACATCCGATCGACACCTTTTTATCCTGGGCAACGTGTCATCCAGTTTTATATTATTTATTCTACTTGTATTCATGCTGTTAGCTACCGGACTGGTAAAATCCCCGCAAAGATTCCGATCCGGTGGTGATAAATAGAGGCAACAGTAGTATACCGCTGTTCAAAAGTTGTAAATCGATTAAGAGAAAACAAATGTTTTGAACATATTTTTTCCTACAACATCTTTGAAAAGATTTGAATAACTTTTTTTCTCTTTGTTTTCTAATACGGATTCTTGGCATTTCCTTTCGATAATTTTGATATAACATTTTTTCTAAATGATTTTTTTTGCAAAGACATCCCATTTATATGGTTCCGAAAATGAAAACTTTACGACGACCAGTATAACAATTCATAGATTGTTTAAATACATGGGATATAAATTTGATAAAAAGTACCTGATTTAACAACGTCGATCTTTTGTCTAAAAACATTCGTCCATGCCCTGATTCCATTAACAAATGTAGAAATTTTACTACAAAATGAGGGTGGTAAAAGAAGCCTGTCATTTTGCAAACAAAACTTTCTGCTTGTGTAGTAACTTTTATTCCACTCCCGGACCAGTCCTGTTAACGGCTCTACAAAGATAAATTGAGTATTTTAATGATTTTCAATTCTCAAACATAATATGTGGCCAGTTTCAACCATTTTATGTAGGCTTTTATAGATAATTCATTGTCGGAAGATAATCGTTTTATTTTGAAGATGTTGAGTAAATCATGATTGAAATATACTAGAAAATATAGTTGTTGTGAGAAAAATTTGACGAGTCCTGGCAAAAATAAAATACTTCAGGTTTGAAAAGACAGGTTAGTATGCATTCCAAGATACGTATACGAAATAAACAGTATACACGTCATAATTCCACAACAATACTGATTGGAATATGCCATGCATGTTGTTATTAAATAGATATGAACTTCAGTAAGATAAAATTTTACTGGAGTTCAATCTGCCGTTAAAACAAATCTTAGTTTGTTTGTTCAGATAAGTTTTCAAACGTAAAAACTCGAACTTAAGCAACACAACTTTTCTCAAACCTATTTAAAAAGCCCGCTGTTCCTGCTTGAGGCGCAGATAAATGTGTTCTATAACCATATTTCGCTAATCCTAACCAAAAATCAATTCATATTTTGATAATGCCGTAGTTAATTGTCCAACTCTTTGGTGTCCATTAACAAGTACTTAAAACGGGACTTAAAATGATACGTTTAATAATTTGACGTTTTTGGCATGTTGGTCAAATAAGATTTAATGACGATAATGAATTTAATGAAGGTTTTTCCAACCTCAAGCGTAGATGACCTTAGCCAGATTTGTCACGGTTTTAATTCGAGCGCCACTGATGACTTTCGTGCGGACAAAACTCGGTTCTCCTATACAAAATTAAAGACCTTGACGATTTAATAAGTTTTATTAATCCTAACAAAGTCATCTTTGCTTTAAAATTATTGCAAGTAGTAAGGTGTTTCTATCCTCAGTAAAAAATGGCCGGATTTGACACGCTTTTCGGCAATTTTAGGTTTACAATTCTCATTCAACATTAACTTCTTACTAGATTTGGCATTCCAACTGATTTGATACATTGGCCTCTGATGTGTCTTGTGTTGACAAAAGTGTGTATGACTACACAATTATAGGCCTAGTATCTTTCTTTATTTTTACCGTTATTTTAACATGGATATTTGTATTTACCGTTCTATTAACCTTAGGTAAACATAAAAAAAAAGGAGAATGAGTCCTAAAACATAAACATATTATAAAATATCTGTTATATTCACATAGTTTAAAATTAAATTATAGAAGTAATAAATAATTTCAATTTGGCGAAATCAAGAACACACCACATCTTCTGACTATGCTGTTGCTTTTTGTGTTACAATTTGTTGTGACCAATCTATCACAGTAACCACAACATAGAGTTACGCAATTTTCTGAATTAACCGAATCATCTGTTATTGTACCATTGAAATCTGCAATATATATGCTAAACGAGGTGAAAATTATTACATCTAAGCGTTTTAAAATTGGTCACTAAATAACATGATCTGCAAAACGTAAATATAAAAAATATATGTACATGCAACAATATATATGTTGTTTCATATATCATGTATATATATGTTGTTGCATATATATATGTTGTTGCATATTATATATATATATATATATATATATAAACAAGTCTAAATTGAAAACAACGTTCAAACCTATGTTTTAGTTGGATAAAAACCGCAATTTTTATACGTGTGCATGCAAAACAAATTTCTTGTTAGAGGGGTATAAATACAGCACAAACAACATTTTCCAAAAGATCAAAAAAGTGAAAAAGTATATTTTAACAAAACGCATTTGACTAACAGGTCGAAAAAAAAAGTTCTTAAACCCTGCTGACTGCCATTGGCGATTGCCAAATAAACGGATCACCCGGTGTAATAAATGGATCTTAATTATAAATTTAATACCAAACAGAAAACAATAAACTTGCGGAAAAGATGGTATACCGCAAACAAAAGGTGCAAAGAATTTTTGTACACCATATCCTGATTTCGACAATTAATGTCTCTTCAGTGATTTTAGGAATCGAAACGGTATTTGGATGGCCATATAATTTACCTCAATTTAGGATAGACTCTTGAATTTTGAGGAGTCAAAATAGGATGAACGGATCATATAAACCCGAAGGCAAATATAATACAAGCCCAAACGAAAAAATATAAACAAGTCTAAATTGAAAACAACGTTCAAACCTATGATTGCGTTGGATAAAAACCGCAATTTTTATACGTGTGCATGCAAAACAAATTTCTTGTTAGAGGGGTCTAAATACAGCACAAACAACATTTTCCACAAGATCAAAAAAGTGAAAAAGTATATTTTAACAAAACGCATTTGACTAACAGGTCGAACAACAAATGTTCTTAAACCCTGCTGACAGTCATTGGCAATTGCCAAATAAACGGATCTGCCCTCAATGGGATTCAAACCCTTGCTTCTGTGACATCATGACAACACCGCCTGCACAGTGTGCAGCGCCTTAGACTAGACGACAACATAGGCTATATAGAAATATAGCTTTCGGTGGTCGATGTAATGCCTTTTCTTGTCGGCTTTATCTAGAGTTGTAACACAGTACATGATGTATAGTTGAAAGAAGATGATGTACCGTTCAGATCAGCTATTTTGTCTGTCGTAAAGGATAATAATGTTAATAAACATGCCGCGACATTAAATATTTAATTCTATTATACACATCTAAACATGTGATAACTTTATGAAAGACATTTTCCATCGGATAACACGTGGTTATACAGGACTTACACCATAATATATATATACTTCGTCTCAAATATATTTATTTATATATGTGTGTATGTAACAAATATCATGTACATGTATTAGTGGCATCTCTGACGAAAAGATATGTTCCTCAATAACATGTTGTTTTGTGCGAAAATAATTTTGTTGGCTATGAATTAGCTACAAATTAAAAGTAAAACAACAAAAATTAGAGAACTTCAAGGAAAATTCAAAACTGAAAATCAGAAGGCAAAGTCTAAAGCTCAAACAAATCAAACGAATGGAAAAAAACAGACATATTCCTAATGTAAAAAAAATTTGGATTAAACCTGTTTTTTAGCTAGCGAAACCTCTCGCTTGTATTGCAGTCGCATAAAATTCCATTATATTACAATAATGTGTGAACGAAACAAAAAGACATAATAGGTACAAATGTCAAAAATAGGGGTACATCAGTCAACATTATGTTAATAATTATCTTAATCACTATACATGCAATAAAATCAAATAAAGATGTCAACAAAGAAAAATAAAAAGGCATATACATATAGACAAAACGCATACGCAGAAATGAAAGACAAGAATATAAAAAATGGGAGAGAGACCGAGGTGGGGGAGAAAAAAATATAGCACAAAAGATACGAACGCAAGAGAAAACATAAACAAAACAGCGTGATTAATAAGGAAGACTGTAGCAAATGTTGAATTTTTTCAAAGATTTAAAACTGACCTAAAGAACTTTGTTATATGGGGTAAAGTTCTATTTCATTATAAGCATTTAAATATGAATTACAATGCAAGTCATCAGTTGTTTAGTTGTCATCTAATTTTTTTTAAACTCTCGTTTTTGAATGCCCATTTATAGATGGAAAAAAAAACATTTGAAACTGTATATTCTGCCATAGCATTAAACTTATTGATTTAAAAAATGGTTTTCTTTTTTCAAAATATTCAAACATGACTCTTAATTTTTTTTTATGGCAATGTTTTTCCAACACCATTCACTTTGGTTTTCTACAATTTCTGTATATATCTGACACACTATATAAAAATTGAAATCTTTGTTATCTAAGTATTATCTTGATCGTTTTGTTGTTTATCCTCTAGAGTTGCCATAAAAACTGCTTTGAAATGTAATTATACTCATCCAAGAAATTGCACTGAGAAAAGTATTAAAATTTTGTTTCCTATAATAATCTAGTTAACCAGTTTTTAAGCAATATCAGTCCATTTAACAAAGCTCTCTGGTGGATACTTATGCTTTCAGTTGCTTACTTATTTAGCATGAAATAAACTTACATTTCAGTTCAGGACGGATTGAAGTACATAATGTACAGCTTTTAAAATTAAGAAAGGGTTTACAAATTCAACTATTTAATTCAAAAGGCAAAAATTGAGCATAAAATATGATAAACAGAAAAAATGATATGTACAATGCATATATTGAAATAAAAAAAACCGATCATCTTATAAAACTTACATCTATATATCAAAAATCCATTTGAAATCTGACATGCGCTGGTCTGTACAATTGGAACCCCTTTAGTAAGGCAGACACAATTCTTATTTTCTTCCTTGAATATATAGAATATAAAATTATGCGTTACTCTATATTGATAATATATTGACTCAAAAAACAATATTATATATATATAAGTTTTCATCACGTCATGTATAAGTTCGAAAAAAAATGATAGGAAGAACATTCCTAACCAAAATCCAATATTCTATGAAAAATATACAAAAAATAAATTTAATTTAATTGAATAATTATCCTCAAACAATTGCACAGTAATGTGCTGATTTGTTTTTATGTATATTTATTTTTTCCGTAAATATATTTACGGACATAATTAAGAAAATGTTATAATAATTTTCATTAGGTTGCATTAACTTTGTCGATATTACCTTTGTGTTAAATAAATAAAAAAATCCTTTTCTTGGCCAAACAGAGAATGCAAAGCCTGTTGACAACCGTATGGCGCGATAAAACTGTACACAATTTGTAATATGGAATGAATATACTATATACATATATTGTTTATATACTGTTTGAAACTATAGGTATCTGAATTTTAGAATAGTAGTATTGATACGCAAAAATATTCTAGTCCTACTGTGCCAGATGAACACTTTCTTGCTCCCAGTCAATTATACATAATTTTATCCTTATATTTGTTCTGTACGGCAACCGGTGTATATAGCAGATTTTATATTGTTTTAGTCACATTTCCAAAAAAATGTATAGACTAGGATAAAATCGTTTTAAACGAATTTGTGTCTGAAACGGTCGTTTTGATCTTAACTTTATCGCAAAAATATAAAAAAAAAGTAAAATAACACAAATAACGAACTCCGAGGAAAATTCAACATGAAAAGTCTCTAATCAAATGGCAAACTCAAAAGCTCAAACACATCTTACGAATGGATAACAACTATTAAATTCCTGACTTGATACAGGCAAAATATTATTAGGTCATTTTTCGTCTTCATGAATTTTTCAGATTATCGACGGCCGTAAATTCAGTACTATTCATGGAATTCGCTTGAAGTTAGTTAACTATAATTATAATTTGATAATTTAATGATGAATATTAATCATATTAATAATAACAATAAATACCTCCATTATAATATTAATAACAATTTATACCTCTTTTATAATATCGGAACAATTTATATCTCCATTCATTGAATATTATAAACTGTAGGGAAAGTTACATATACCTTATGTATATTTATTTGTCTTGTAAAATGCATTCAAGTATTAAATATATTGACATTACATACAGTTTGATAAAAATTTATTGAAAAAATGTTTCTTATTTATAACTGGCTTTATTTGTGTAGACTATACAGTGTCTGAGTGTCATTTTAACATAAAATTTTGACATGCCACGTGGTTCTAGATGTATTTCATCGGATAATATCGGAACAAAATGAATTTCATTTGAAGGTTTTAAATAACATTAAGCAGTACCAACATGAATTTACACACGTTTTTCTGCTAAGCATACTTCCACTAGTTATTCAAATGGGTTCTGACAAATCAGAAAAGCGCTCATGAATACGTTACAATTCATAACAGTCCAGTTGATGACCGTTTATTAAAGTCATTACGTTCAGTTGCTTACGGGAACAAAATTTGCTTTCTCATTTAACATATTGAAAAGATCAGAGTATCAACAAACAGGCCATCGAATGTTTGATTAAAGCACAGTTTTACACGAGGATGATGCATTAGTTGATTTAAAAGTTTATACATAGCTAATAGTATAGCTACATATTCCTCCTTGTATGCTTTTAGCAAATAATTACCAACAAACTGTTTAGCACTCCTGGTACTTACAGTCAATTAGTAGGAGTTTCGTCCCACTGGTAATGAAAAAATCAAACTGTATACCACTGTGTGTATAGTGTCATGTCCTTATTGGGTTTTTTTATCATTATTTCGACAATTTCATATTTTTGCTTACATGTAACGTTTGTTTAAGTTTGGTTCTAAGTTTGGTTCTTTTAGGTTTCTGATTAATTCATTTCAATCTAAAAACAGATTGAAGACACTTGAAAGATTGGCTTATTGTATAGACACTTATTAACTCCAGGCAACTTGATGTTGACCTCTATGTGTCTCTTTAGTTATTTATATCGTTAAGATACTGTGTCATTAACACATATTCATATCTCGTTTTATATTCTTCAGCAGATTTGCAACATCAAAACAAGTTTCATAATAACAGAAGATAAAGACAATACCTCAAAAAAGCAGCAACCAAATAACAGTAAAAACTCATGGATAGATGTAGCTTACCTTACTGTTATATCCAAATACCTTCTCTACGTCACATTGCATTTGACAATGACCAACGGAGTCAGCTGTGTAGACAATATCATTGTCCGTTTGTGGATTACAACCTAAAAACATCAAGGTTTAAATAATAAGCAATCTTACTCATGTTCCTGATGACCTGTTTTTTTTTACAATTCATAATTTTTTTCTTTTTAAAGAAAGTATAGTATAGTACCGTATACAGTTCTATATATGATAGACAACTTTGGTTATATTGTAATTACATTTCACAATAATAACATTGACATGATTAAGAAACTAAATGAACTTTTTTAAACAATATTGGGAGAATTACATATTTTGTTATACGTTTTTGATATGTTTATGTGTAGTTGTGTTTAATTCTAAATTAAATAAGACAAGGGATGAAGATGAAATATATCAAAAAGGTATGCCTGTAAATTCTTGAATTAGTTTTCGACTGAATTGTTATCCATATAAATTCATTTTGTTCAAGAAGTCATAACTGTTTGTTATTACAGTGGCTAATTAATTCGTCTATTTATCAATATGTATCCCAAAAAATAATAACAGCGAGATAGTACGCTGGTGTTTGATTGTCAGTCTTTATGAAGCGATTAAATATGTGAAATGATCCTTCTGAGGACACAATTTCGTATTAGTATGGTTAAAAAAAAGAATATACCAAAAGGATCATCAAAAAAATCAGATCACTACTTTATTTTGTGCATTTTTTGTAAATTTTCGAAAACACTTAATTCTGTTAAATGTGTGATTTTCTGGGTTTACTTATTAATAATTTAATTATCTTAATCTAATTGGATTCCTTATATACATTTACGTGAAAAATTGGACAATAAACTACGTATTTAAATACATCCTGCGTAACCGTGGAAAATATAATGACAAAATATTATCGCCTGGTTCTGCAATAAATCTGTCACAATCTTTGAGAGCATCTACTGATGATTAGTTCATATGAAAACGTTTTGATTAATAGTAATATATATCATAAGGGTAAACACAGAAGGTTTTAGTAGTGTTTTGAAGAAAAAAAAACGTCTGACATGTTGCTTTTGGTAAATATACGTTTCTCATGTACCAGCCGCAGTCAATTTTTGACTCCGAAAAATGCCAATGCTCCGAATTTATATACAGCTATCCGAAAAAGGTTTAAGAAAGCGATATCAGAAAGTTCTATTGAAATGCATTTAAGATGTAGCATTCAATAACTTCAATTTACTTGTGAAATGCAAACACACCTTATTCTGATTAAAAAAAAAATCCGCAAATAAATCGAGAAGATCGCACATATATGTATAAGATTTGATACGCCTTCTCCTACAATTGTTTTAAAAATAGTTAAATGTTCAACTCTTTTTTTCCTTTAATATTTCAATTTAAACATATCTTATTTTCTGATCAATATATTCACACAAGGACACTCTTTTAGTATTGAAGGCTCCTGTTCTCGAAAAACGTCGTTTTGACAAAAGTGATATTTCGGAGATTTTTTCCATTTTTAGAACTATTTGGAATACTTAGATAATATGTATATTGAATGAATATTCTATTTTGTAAGAACATGATTTTTTTCCAAATATGTTTATGAATATGCAACAGACTACAATGTTTAAGACATCAGTGTAACAAGCTTCTAGTGCATTTTGATAAATAATGGTATTCAGACTTCAACTGTTTATGTTATTATACATTCTTTGCTTTTAAACATTCGGTTTTGAGCGATTCCTAATGAAGGTAAATCCAGAAAAGCGCCTCGGACGCATGAAATTTATAACGTGTTGTTTTCATATGCATTTGGTTGATCGTTTTTACCATCTAAAATAAATCTTTGTTTTTGGAAATATCTATTGCAGTTTCAAAACACTGTGCGTACTGAACTAAACAAATTATTAATAGTGTCTCCTTTATAAAGATAAGGACCACTTTTCTATTGTTCTCGCAACATCAGTTTTTACACACTGCTACCAACTGATAAAAATTGATCTTTTGATTTTTATACAGAAAATTCAATTTGCTTTCAAGCTATGATACATCGTATATTATCAAAAACTCTTTTAAATTGCAGGAGTGTTTGTCTATTTTCCAAATGATTTAATTTCTCACTCTTTTGCTAAATACAGATAAGAGGCATTTTTGTATTGATAGAATAAAGAGAACAAAACATAAATCGATATTTTGGTGAACCCGCTGTCATTAAATGTGAATGAACATTGGTAATATACATATGCTGTCATTTTAGTAGCTGCCACAAAACAATCACTGACTTTTTCAATTCATCTAATTTAAATCTGGTATGTCAACGTTCACAAAAAATATGTACCATATCCATTTATTTCATACCAATACATACCAAGTACTTCAATCCACGGAGTCAGTTCACGGTAGACTGCTTTTCCTATCCAAACCTCATTTTCAATCGGAATTCCGCTATGCTTTATCTTTTGTTCATTGTCTTCTAATCCGTTTTCCCCGCACACAGCGTTAGCTTCTTGCCAAGTAATTGCCTTGTCCGTGTGTTGAACATTTGAACTTGTGTATACTAATTGTAAAAATAACAGGTTAATAATTCATTACTATATTTTGATATTTTCAACAAAAGTTTTGTTATTGTTTTTAAGCCTAAAAGATGAAAATCAATCCATTTTGTTTCAGCATCAACCATATACATAGAAAATATCATACCGGTATGGCTTCTCGATATCACTCCTGTATCAACCCGAAACACCAAGATCTCTGCTCAAGGGATTATATTGGTTGAGGTTGATACGATGTGTGATAGTGAAAAAACCATATCATATACACATATTATATACATGTACCTGAAGTACAACTAATCTCTCTTATGTACTTTTTTACGAGACATGACGTAATACGTATTAGGGGTTTGATAAAGTCTGCAATCGTGACTGATATTGATTATGTGACGTCATACAGATTAGGGGTTTGATAAAACCTTTGCAACCAATACTGATATCAATAATCATCACGGATTGCTGATACATCACTATTGTATTCAATTGTATTACACATACAATTTACCTGTATTTACTACTAAGTATATAATAAAATCCATATATTACATAACATATCAATTTAACTGAATTAAAAACTGATTTCTCTTATGGTTGTGGCCTGTTGTCTATTTCTTGCATGAATAAATATTTCTCGTATCACACTGCACGGAGTGTGATTCAAAAAAGTGATACGAAAATCTGAGTTAATTTGATTTGCTTATTCAGGTGTAATACCCCATTGATTTTCCTCTATTAGTCTATGTTAAATTCGCACTTTTAAAAAAATTGTGCAGAATTTATCTTTGTTTCGAATAAAGAAATACTTGGCATGATAGAGTTTTATCCAGTTCAGTACTACAGACAAAATTTCACATAACATTTCATTGCATATAAGAAAAAAACCATCACTGGAAGTTAATCAATTAAATTTTCACCTCTTTTTTAACTGTTTACAAGCTTTAGTAACCATGTTACCTCAAGTTTCCAAAATATTCTATAGAAACACCAAAGATACATGTTTATGACCCAGCCCAGATATTTACTGAATTGAAATGTAGGATTAATTTCCTACAACTGTCAAATTCAAGGGAATATTTTTTTTCGACCCTTTTTCGTATGTAACCGGATGAAATGTACTATGATTTGGTGGTATTACACCTAAAGCATCACAAGATAATAATACGGCATTTCGATTGGTTATTCATTAGGTCAATTATGACTTTCAAAGGTTAGGACAATGGACATTTCGTCAATGGGAACGGATATTGTGATTTATTCAATAATATACAAACCACTCACAAATTTCACCTGACAATCTTCTTTTTGCCAAATTTTATTACATTCTGAAGCGTACAAAAAGTCTTACAATGTCTGATGTTAAAGTTTGACACCGGAAAAGGACATATGACGTCATACTGGAATGTGCAAAAAACTAGATCAACATTTCGCGGAATTTTTAATTTTACACATAGAGAGTGTTGACCATAAGAGAAATAGGTTTAACAACTATTGAAAATTGGATATCGCTTGATATCAACTCTCGTTATTTAATTTAAATTGTAATAATAAACTCGCCGAAGGCTCGTTTAATATTATATTGAAATTAAATAACTAAAGTTGATATCAAGCGATATCCCATTCTTACTCGTTATGAAACCTATAAATATCAGAACAATAAATATCATAATTTGCAGATCGATTATTTTGTGCCAATGAATATTTTTATAAATTTATCTATATGAATGTAAATAAAGTAGATTCTCCGATATGGCTCATGTAAAAAAATATTACGTATAAATATTGTCTTATTCGGTTGCGTTTTGATCTTCCTTCATTCCGACATATCAAATTGATTGTCTTCGTGGGATTTTTATTCAATATGAATAAACAAAATATACAAAAACAAAACAAGAAGAAATAAATATAGGGTATTCAACAACCGACATTTAGTTAAAATGCCGTTGCAATTAATTTACTATTCATTAAATGTAACAATTATTCGAAACTCTTCGGAATTTTCTAGTACTGGCATATATGGCTTGACTCAGATTTGACAGATCATTACTCTTTATCTTTTCTTTTCAATGCGCCTCAATAAACACGTTGAAATGGCCGTCAAGCTATTAGAATGGATCGTTACAGTCGAAGAAAAATCAAAGTATAATGATTGTATATTTGATTACAAAATGCATATATCCAGAGTATTCCCCCATCTCACTTTCATTTTTTTTTTTGTCAACATCTAAGCTAAGAGAAGAAAGTAAATGAACAATCCCATGATAACTATTTTACTTGTACTTCAAAAATGTTTAACAAAATTCCAGTGCAGATGAAAGGATTACTACATGTGCCAAGTGATGTGTTTTAGAAATGATCAGAAAAAAGGTTGCAAAATAAAGGTTCGCCGATCCGCTTACAAAATTCAAAATATACAACGTCAAAATGTCAATGAACATGTTTCCTTTCTTTCGTTTAGTGTTTATGATTATAAAATCGTATGAAGTTCTGTTGGAAATATAACATACCGTGATATATAAGAATGTTCCACAACAGAAAGACTAACTCCGTGAATGTTGTCAATTTATCCATCACAATGACATATAACGGAAACTTTATATTTGATAAGTCATTTTATAAATACATTTTTGATTTACCATGTTTACCAGGAAGTTATACATGTGTATCTAACAGTGAACAGGGTAATAAGTACACAAAGGTTATATAAAACTTTCGCATTTATAGATCTGTAAATATTATTCAAGGCTTTATTTCTTTATTTTTCATTTAAAAAAAGATGGTTTTAAAGTAATTATATAACACACAAACACGTATGTGTATATTTCTTCACCAATCCTCATTACATGTATAGACCATGAAATGTGCCAACTGGATCATTAACAAGATGTGAACATATCTAATAGGGGTAAATTCAGTAAATAAATATACGCTATCACGGACCGCCCATTTGGGGGAGAGCTTTCTGTATTAAACTGAAGTCCTGTGCTCTTCTGATTGGTAGATAGTGTTTGTAATAAATATTTGTTGATAGATGGATCAAAACTAGAGTTAAAAAAATAAAAAAATGAATACTGAAAGCACTAATTCTTTTTACTACAGGGTTGAAAGGTAATGGGGGTCAGTAAAGGAATTAAGTGCGAATCTACAGTGTTTGTTTACAAGGCCATGTGAATGCCCGAAAATGCCGCATGACCCTATGTTTTTATTGTTGCAAAAGATGGGGCTACATTTGTACTTTCATGAATGATATATGAAAGCTTCTAATTTCTAAAGGTAAAACAGGTATAAATTTAATTCAAGACATAGATTAGAATTAAAGTCAATGGGAGATTTTTTACTGAATTTACCCCTATAGGAAAATATGCACTCTGTCACTGTACTTTTTCAAGGCCACACAATAACCACAAAGCTCATTTCCTGTAAATATTAATGCAATGGAAGCTTTTTGGAACCAGTTAAAGTTTTTTTTATACAAAATTCTATGTTTAACTGCGGCTATCCAGGATGCACTGAGTGTACTGTGGGAGGAAGCATGGGGTATATGGTAAAAAATCAGTTTTGTGTCCAGATTGAAAGAAACTATAGAAATTACACTTGAGAGTTATGATATTAATGAAAGGCATAAATATTCTCCCCATTTACATCACATTTTGCACATATTTCTTCTAATAATGTGTAAAATCATATGGAAATTCAGAATTACCTCCCTTTGACATAGTGTATTTTTTTAGCTGTGTTCCCCACGTTAAGTTGTAGATCAAGTTTTAAATAAGCACTTTTCAAGTATTTTAACACTCGAATAATCTGACCGTATGAAGATATTCATTTATTTTTACATAACTCATTGCGTTTCTTTAATTAAAAAACATACTAGACAACTTTTCAGGATTACATACCCTTCATCTATGAAACTAGTGTTAAACTGTTTGTAATTGGATTGCTATGTTAAATAATTGCTTTAAAAGATTCTAAATTGTTACTTTAATCTTCCAAATGCAAAGTTTGGTCATACCCAGTCTTATTTTTTTCATATTTGGCACAATTTCCTTCTTCAGTTTTGGCTGTCTAGTGTTGGCGAAGAAACCATCCTGATGTTGGGTTAACAGGAATTTCTGTAGAATGGTTGTCATTGACAGTTTGTGAATTTTACAAGTAATTTAAACACAGATTTAGTAAAACAAAACATAATTGTTGGGTTTTTTTTTTTTGTATGAAACTGCTTAAAAAGCCTTTGAAAAGTCTTTTTGTGGTATTTTCGGGGTATATAATCAAAAACTTCCATATAAGGCAAAATTTAACTTAGAGTATATCAAGACTTTAGTTCCCAGATGTACTTGCATTACTGGTCAAAGCAAACACAGAAACAAATTCATATTTATTGAGCATAGTATTTTACACCATTCTTTTAAAAACAGTCAATGTGCAACTTTATATACAAAATACACATTGGCCGCAGTGTGGGCTGAAGTATAAATTTTCCTCTATCTTTACAAATTCAGCATTTATGAATGTTGTATTGAAACTGGAATTTGAAAATTGGATACTTTACATAATTAATACAAAAAAAATAGGAAATGATGTTAAAAATTCCCTTATAGGGGTATATTCAGTAAATAAATATACGTCATCAGGGACCGCCAATTTGGGGGAGAGCTTTCTGTATTAAACTGAAGTCCTGTGCTCTTCTGATTGGTAGATAATGTTTGTAATAAATATTTTTTGAAAGATGGAGCAAAACTAGAGTTAACAAAAATTAAAAAAAAGGAATGCTGAATGCACTAAATGTTTTTACTACAGGGTTGAAAAGTAATGGGGGTCAGTAAAGGAATTAAGTGCGAATCTACAGTGTTTGTTAACAAGGCCATGTGAATGCCCAAAAATGCCGCATGACCCTATGTTTTTATTGTTGCAAAAGATAGGGCTACATTTGTACTTTCGTGAATGATATATGAAAGCTTCTAATTTCTAAAGGTAAATCAGGTATAAA